TACCGCCTGCCGCTCATCTTACTACAGTTTGGGGTATATCCTTTTGGTTGGGGGAACTTGCATCTGCTGAACCTTGACTTTGAAGGCACCAAACAGGACTCTCTCTGGTGGGGGAGGTGTGCATATGCCATGGTGTGTGTGGAGATCAGAGGACCACTTTGTGAAGCTGCTTCTTTCCTTCCACCTTTATGCGTGTTCCAGGGATCAAACTTAGGTCACCAGGCTTGCATAAAAAGTGCCTTTACCCGTTGAGTCCTCTCATTGATCCTGAACAAGACTCTTGTTTATTCTTCATTTAACAACAGCAGCCCTGTTTGATACTGTGTCTTCAGGGAAATGAGGAAAAGGGAGGCCAGAAAGATGAGTATCCAGTACAATAAATGCAAACAAGAACAGAAACCTAACCTGTCCGATGTCTTTGCCATACATAGCTTAAGGAGTGAACCATGGAGGTAAACGGTAAGACCAAGTCAGAACCACTTCAGCAAATCAGAACAAAGGGATGTGTGTAGGCCTCTGTGATACTAGGTGGGGGCAGTCAGACAACTGTACTCTGCATATGGCAGCTGTTCAACTGTCTAAGTTAAGGGGGTAATACCAACCTTAAATGATTTCCCTGTGTCCTAACTACAGAAGACCCTTGGGAAACCTGAGTATTTGCCAGCCAGGGGTTAAGATCGGGAGGCTATTCCTAAAGAGCTACCAGGAAGCTAAAACCAGCAGGTGAACACAGGGTTCCTGGATTGAAATAGCAGCTGGAGAGGAGCTGGAGACTTGTAAAAGCAGCTGGAAGAGGACTTAGGGTGTGCAGCTGTCTTAGCTTGTCAGTGCTGAAACACCTAAATCTGGCTCCTGCAGAAAGGAGGTCCAAATTAGCACCATTTCAGAGGCTGAAATCCAAGATGTGGCTGCCAGTTGTGTTTGGCCTCTGGTAAGGGCTTCTTTGGTTTCATCACACCATGGTGGATGTGGCAGTGTACCCCAAAATGAGAGACTGCAGAGCCAAACAGGAAGCCGGAAACTATAGAGATGACCAGGTTTGCTCAAAATACCAAGCCACTCCCACGAGAACCCACTCTGTGAGATATGTGTTAATTCCTTCTGAGTGCAGCACCTCCGATAACCCAAATATTCTCCATTAGACCTCTCCTCTGAATGGTTCCGGTGTCTCCCAGCATTGTCACAGCTTGGAGACCAAGTTTCTGACACATGACCCAGCATAGGGAACCTTCAAACTACTTACAGCTGTAGCGGATATCTTAGGGCTTACGGCATCAGTGTTGACAACCTGCACATCCTTGCCCCGGGGAAAAGTGAAGCAATGGAGTAAGTGAATTGTTAGAATAGACAGGAATCTCACCAAGGCCAGGCTTAAGGACCTTGGAAGCCCTGTTACCAGGCCTGAGGGCTGCAGAAGCTGGGCAGTTTGTGGACAAAGCTTTAGTTGTATCTGGGGAAAGATGTACAGAGCTGGAGAGACAACACCCTATACTGTCAATCCGTGAATCCTTCATTCAAACAGACATGTCTGTGTTTCTTCCCTCCCATATGAGTCCATTTGTATTGCTTTAATGAGATGCCTGGGGCTGATGAACTTAAGAAGAAGCTTACTGGGTTCATGATTCTGGTGACTGGAAGATCCGCACAGCAGAGTGTGCTGTCCCGCGGCAAGGGCTGCTGGCTGTCCACAAGTCCACAGGGGAAAGGACAGGCAATCCACGGTGTGCAAATGGTGTTAAGGACATGGCAGAACCTCAGTGACCAAGACCCTGCTGTCATGAGAACTGACCCACCCTTCAAGACCAGTGACTCCTGCCCTGGGAGGCCGCTCCACGACCCAGCTACTTTCCACCAAGCTTGCCTCTCAAAGACTCCAGGACCTCTGCTATGGTCCACCTTCCCTGTCAGCTCGGCAGGCCTTGGACACACCTGCTGGAAATCAGCAAGAGATTCTCCAGAGGGTTAGCTGAGGAGAGAAACTGCCCTGAAGGCAGGGAACAGAGTCTTGTGGGCTGGGTCCCATAAAGGAGGAAGCTAGCTGAAGGTTGTATTCCTCATTCTGCTTTCTGACTGCAGACACTTTGTGACTCCCTGGCCACCATGCCTTTCTTGCCAGGATGTTTTTGTACCCTTGAGCCACGAGCCAGAGTAAACCTTTCCTTCCTTCAGCTGCCTTTGAAACAGGTTTTGTTGCAGCAATAAAACAAAGAAAAAATAAAATTAAACAGCCTCTAAATACTGCTCCGTGGTGGGGCAAGCTTTCCAGTGCATACATTTGCAGAACATGCAAGCAGTTCTAGAACACACTGGGAACATGCTGGGAGCTTTCTCTGTCGGGGCTGGGGTCTCCACCCATCTGTGCCTTGTGCTCGCTCAGTCCAGAGCTCCCTGTGTGGTGGCCGAAGGCTGAGAGATCATGGCAAAGGACAGTGGGTTCTTATTTTATTTTAGACTCTCCCTAATGTTTAAACAAAATTATACATCTCAAAGCTTCTCATACATAAAACAGGTGACATTGTTGCTTCTCTGATTCCAGTTGGGATCAGAGAGGCTGGCATCCCCTTTTCTTCTGAGTTAAGTACATAGAAATCCCTGGCATAGCTGGAAGATCTATTATCTAAGCCAGAGCATCAAGGCCTTAACTCCAGCTCTGCCCCTTGGAAAGAGGGAGGCTCTTGAGAAGTTGCTGAGTGTCTCATCTGCTGCTTCTTCATCTGTGATCATAATTCTTGCCGAGGAAACAGATTACTGTGAGCCTGAGGGGCAGCCATGGGACAGAAGGTAGCGCTACAAGGCCATATAAGAGGGGAAGTGTCCTGTTGTTGATTTTTTTTTTTTTACTCTCAGTTCTTTGGGAGCCTGCCACCCAGCTCTCAAATAACTCACACAGAGAAGACTTATTCTTTCTTATAAATGCAGGGCCTTAGCTTGGCTTGTTTCTAGTCAATTTTTCTTAACTTAAATTATCCCATCGTCCTTTTGCCTCTGGGCTTTTATCTTTATTTCTGTATACCTTTCTTTACTTCTTACTCTGGGGCTTGCTGTATAGCTGGGTGGCTGGCCCCTGGAGTCCTCTTCCCCTTCTTTTTTTGTCCCTTCTTCTATGTAATGGTCTTCTCCTTTTATTTATTCTCTCTGGATGACAGCCCCTCCTATTTCTCTCTCCTGCCTCGCTATTGGCCATTCAGCTCTTTACTAGACCAGTCAGGTGTTTTAGACAGGCAAAGCAACCCAGCTTCACAGAGTTAAACAAATGCAACATAAAAGAATGCAACACATCTTTGCATCATTAAACTAATGTTCCAAACTCACTCTGCAGCGAAAAATCACCCTTGAATTTCTAATCCTCTTGCTTCTATCTCCCTAGGGCAAGGATTAAAGGCATACACCACCATTTTCAACTTTCAGCAGTGCTGGACTTGGAACCACCGCTTCTGCAAGCTAAGCAAGCACTCTACCAACTTAGCTACATCCCCATCCTGGAAACTCCTCTCAATAGTTTATTTGCTTTCCCCTTTCAACAGCGAAGAACAAGTGCTTCCTCCACTTCTCCAAACATACTTTACACAGTGGAAATGCCACTCTCTTCTGTAGGTGGTGTTTGGGGAACTTACTTCCTGTCGTTGTTCAGCCGGTTTACACTTGGCGCTGTGATTTACGCGTGCAGAAAACAGCCTGGAATTGGGACAGCACATTTGTTCCCGGTCTGTTCCTCTAGAGGCCCTATCAGCAATGTCAGAAACCTGCCTAGCGCAGGCCATCAGTGTGGGAAGGGCCTCATGGACAGAGTTTGACACGGAGTTCCACGTCCATCTCTCAAGGCCATGGCCGCTGAAGTCGTGCTGCTGATCTGGTGGGTGGCTTATCAAGATCTTGTGCTCTCTGATCTAAACCCAGGCTTGGTTATGGAACTGTCAAAAATGGGCTTGAGTTGTATCTCCATGTTCCCAGATGGGGACCCTGCTGTATGCAAAAGATACAGAGACATGTATGATAGTAAATCAGAGGCACGGTTTTCTAGGCATGAACTCAACCATGTTCTGTGATTTTTATCACAGGATGGATTCCAGGCAAGAGGACTCAGCAGCTCTTCCTTAGGAGCAAGTTGGCCTTTCCAGGGCCAAGGACTTGATTGATTCCTGCAGATAGGGCAGGGGGATTGGGCTTTGCGTGGGGTAATAATTCTGCACAGCTCACAGGCTAATAGAACTTAGCTCAGGCCTCCTTGACTCTTCCACCTGCTGTGGCATCCCTTGCTCTCAGTTCACTTTTTCGTGGCCCATTGAGACTCTCGAGCTGTGCAGACTCATCCCCGATGACCAGCATCAGCATCTTATTCTGACTGGCAGTGCAGCGAGCAGAAAGACCAGGAGAGGTGGAGAGGAGAGAGCAAAGACTCCGGACCTGGTGTTCCTGGCAGCAAGGTCCACTTTTGTTGCCAGAGGGGCACTTGGGGCTTTACTGTTTGGCCTCTTCCCACGGCTCAGATCTGTTCCTTGATGTTCCTCTAAAGCTCAGTAATTCCTCTGGCTCAGACATCAAGACTCTGGCGTTCTTCCAGGGAGTGATGTGGGAGATGCTTCTTTCCCCTTCTGTGGTCTCCATGCCTGTAGCCCAACCCTTTCTACCTTCGTGGTGCCAGAAAGATCCGCAGGCAGCCCAGAGCTCCCAGTCACACCCGTGGTAGGTCTTGCTCTCCTCCAGCTAACGAGTTCCAGTGCAGCATCCTGACCCCGGATTCACACATTTTCAACTGGAAGACCAATAACTCTGTAACGGGCATAAGATGTGTTTCACATCTCCATGCGGCTTTAATTCTGGTCCCTGGCTATGCACCAGCAAGAGACCCGTGGGTGGGATAATTGAAATCTCATGATGATTGTTTTTTTCACTTCCTTCCCTACCAGATCTTCTACTAGAGGTAGTCACCTCCCCTTTTCTCTCCTTTTATTTTCCTTGTTCAATCCTCTTGAGAGAACTAACGGAACAAAAGGCCAGCAGTTGTGAGGGTGGGGGATACGGGCAAACAAGAGCTCCAGTTCCGGACTTGACCGTACCCCATCCCACAGGGCCATGGAAAACCTCCCAAACCTCTACCCTGCCCCAAACTCTAACCCTTGTGAGGTCCCTCCAGTAACTGGGGCCCACCCACAGGGGCAGACCGAAGAAAAGCCTTGCCTGAGGGGCGGGAAGGAATGAGGGAGCTGGTTGCCAAGGGAACAGAGAGTAAGAGCCTGAAAGGTTGTCAGCCCCGGAAGTGGCCAGCGAGCAGTACAGGCATTCAAATACGCACAGGTGTAAGAGGGAACGAGGCAGCCATCATGGATTTGCATAGGCTCGTGGGAAGCTAAAGTCAGGCTCTGGCTGGACTGCGAGTGTAGAGAAGTCTACTTGTGTCCTCTGCACTGGCAGGCAGGAACTTGCCTTGCGCTGGGGGGTGGGGTCTGGCTTGCCTCTTGCTTGGGTCATCAATTGAGCTCCGGAGGAGCGTGACTGTTGGGTAAGTTTGGAGAACAGCCACTGCTGTTGATTCGCTCCTTCCAACCCAGTCTGAACATTGTGGATTTTAAGCCTAAGGTGGACCTGAGAGATTGATGAGGCTCACCCACCCACTCTTGCTTTTACGGCCAGGTCTCACTATGTAGCCCAGACTGGCCTTAAACTCATGGCAATCCCCCGGCAAGAATTACAGGCACAAACCACCACACTTGGCTTGGTTCACCCAATTTTCTTACTGTTAGGATTTGGTTGTCTTCATTGTTCTATTCTAGGCCTAAAACATCCCCAGGTTATCAATGCCAGCCTCAACCTGGTACTCTCATTAGGAAGTATCCGACAGGTTTAGCAGACCCTTCGGAGCCTGGCCTCTGGACCACCTTCGCCTTCGGTGGCTCCATCCTATCCTCCTTCCTTCCTCAGCCTCACCTTGAGCTCTTATTCAAGGCAGCTGCTGTAAGCCATACACTTGCTCCTAGGATGTCGTCCTTCACTGTTCTAGACCCCAGAACCTGGAGGAGGAAGGTGCCTCACCGACTGTGGATGGGGGGTGGGCGTTAGCAGCCAGAAGTCTGAAGGGAGAAGAGGCTGGTCTGTGTGTGCTGAGCATCGTCTGAAACTCTCAGGACTTTCTGCTCCCCAGCATCATGCACACGGACTCTCGGGAACCCCTAAAGTGCAGGCTAATGACAGGGTCCCTATCTGCCACCCCCTGTGGTAACTGTGTAGCTTTAAAGGCATTGGATGCTCTCTCTCTCCTCTCTCTCTCTCTCTCCTCTCTCTCTCTCTCTCTCTCTCTCACTCACACACACACACACACACACACACACAGAGAGAGAGAGAGAGAGAGAGAGAGAGAGAGAGAGAGAGAGAGAGAGAGTGTTCAGTATAGCTGCTGCCCTCTTATCAGTGACTGTTGGGGTGAGTGAAGTCTCATTCAGAGCAATCTCCACGACTCTTCTGGGGTGATGAGAGAGGGGAAAATGCTCAGATCTCTGACTCTAGGGATCTTCACCCCAGCCAGCCCTCCCTGACCCATTGAGTAAGAGTAACCTTTTTTGTTTGTTTTCAGTTTAGGAGATGGAGGGCAGCTCTGCTGTCAGAAGCAGCCATGGATTTTAATGCTTCAAAGACAGAGGGAAGCTGCTGGTGACTGGATTCTGGCGGCCGAGAAGAAGAGCTGGGAACTCAGAGTATGTCTAGGAAGTCACTGTCCACAATGCTACCTGAGTCCTTTTTGCCATGTTAGGTTATGACATTCATCAATGGTGTAGGCATTCTGCCTAAAGAACAAACCACTGTACTGCATGGGCCAGCAGGCCCACCATGACAAGATGAACACTGAGGCTCAAGGCTTTGCACGTCTGACGGAGATGTAGTTAGACCCAAGGGAAAACCTCTAAGTCCTGAGGAACAAGTGTAGAATGACAGTGTAACCTACTGCATGAAAACTACAGACAAAGCTTGCAAAGGGACAACCAGAAGCCCCTAGCATCTTCATCTCTCTGGTGTTCTTGTTAATACTTCTGTTTAAATCGTTTTTGTGGTTTATTTTGCTGGCCATGGACCTCGTCCATTGAAGGGAGCAGCTGCAAACATCAGGTGCACATTTACAAGCTAGCAAAGTCATTCTGTATGTATAGAGAACCCAGAAAGAGCCTCACTCACTTCAAAAGACGAAACAGTAAGCTGGGAGGGGAAACGGCTCAACCGGTACTGTTCGCCCAGCGTGCATGAAGCCCTGGATCCAATTGGATCATGGAATAAACCAGGTGGGTGGCACATGCCCATAATCCCAAAACTCAGGAAGTGACAATAAGATCAAGAGTTCAAAATCATCCTTAAGTACTTAGAGAGCTCAAAGCCAGCCTTGGATACAGGAGACCTTGCCTCAAGAAGAAAAAGACTGATTTGATCTCAACCCTAGTGCCAACCAGGGTGAGGGATGTGGGGGACATGTTTGATCTAATCTGTTGAGCTGAAGTAAAGAGGTGTTAAGAAGGGCAAGCTATAAAAGAAAAATCTGTCTCCATTGGTTAACTGAGAGCTGATGTAGATTCTGTCATGGAGCTTGGAACACAGAATCAGGGGTTCTCAGCCTGGGTACATGAGCTAGATACTTTTCTACTGGAGAGGGTGCCCTTAGCACTTTGGCCTATTTAGCAGTATCCCCATGCTCTGCTGACTGGCCAGCCACTTGTTCCACTGCTATCAACTGAAAGGCTCTGCCAGAAAAGAATCCCTGATTCCAATGAGGGGTGTTGAAGTCCTGCAGCCCAGCAATGCCTCTGTCACTGGCTTTGGAGAGGATTCAACTTCCAAAATGGAAATATAATTACAGCAGGGTCAGCAGGGGTCTTGGAATTCAGTGTGGCTCAGATCTGAATGACATGTGGCATCCTTCCAAGTATTTCAAGGATTCCCAGTGCTGATGTGATTATTTTCCTAAGATCTTCAGTTAAATATGACACTCATAAGACTGGCACATTTCCCACAGGCTTGCGACTTTTCTATAGCTATAAACTCAAACTAAACCCAACCACGCAAACCAAATATAATATCACTCCAAATCACGTAACAATGCAGCGAGGTTTCATGATGTTGCCTTTTACTCTGTGTTTGGGTACCAACCTGAAGATTTGAGCTGGGCTTGCCCCTGTCTGTATTGTCCCAGGACTCAAATATCATGTGATACTAGACTCTGCTTGTGAGGTCTCTTTGAAGTCATTTGGCCAGTGCATGTTCTGCTCACTAAGGTCACCTGTGTTTTCTTACTGGCTTGAGGCAGCTGTAATAGCACATCCAGTTCCCAAGTGGGTCATAAATATTAAGGGCTTAGCTCTGGGGTGAACCTATGACCCCAGGATCAGCTCAGAAGAATCTAGATTCTTGACAAAATGAAAATAACCTTTTGTTTTTGTGACAGGGTCTTGTATATCCCAGGCTAGCTTTGAGCTCACCATATGTCTGTGGATAGCACTGAACGTCGGATCCTCCTGCCTGTACCCCTTGAAGTTCTGGGATTACAGGTGTGTACCATGTTGATGCTGGAGGTAGAACTCAGTATTTTTTTGTGCACGCTAGGAAAACATTCTATCCACTGAGCCGCATCCCCACCTCTGGAAACAGTGTGTATTTTCTTTCTAAAGTTAAAGTTGCTAGAAAGGTTTCCTAAGAATGTTTTAGCAGGTTCTTGACAGAGCACACATGGGCCTGGACTCTTCATGGGAGAGAGCTGAGGCCCAGAGAGAGAATGTGTGTAGGGGGGCCACACACTGTTGTAGGGGCGTAGAGGTGTGTGGGATGGGGGGCACGGGACTGTGGGGGTGGGAGCCTAGCCCTTAGGGTGAGAGCAGGCATGCAGTCTGGAGCCAGAGCTCTCTCTCCCCTTAGCATGCCTGGATCCTGAGGGGCACTGGGATTCACTGCACTGCCTTAAACATTCACTAAGTTGTACCGCACACCTCAAGTGCATCTGTGAAAGGCTCTAACACTGAAGTAAAGAACTTCTTTTTCAGAACCTCTAGTGTTGGTAGTATGAGACAGCAGGGTCTGTGTAATGAAATACAGGACACATGCAGACATGGGCTCAGCATGAGCACCCAGTTTAGTGAACAACTATAAAGACTCACGAGGTCACAGCCAGGCCAAGAAACAGAACAGTCCCAGGGTGCAGAAGTCCCTTGTATATTCTTGTCAGCCACTCCCTCTGTTTAAAATTGTTTTTATTGAGCTATGGATTTTTCTCCACTCCCCTCCCTTCTTCTCCCCTTCTCTTCTACCCTCTCCCATGGTCCCCATGCTCCCAATTTACTCAGGAGATCTTGTCTTTTTCTACTTCCCATGTAGATTAGACCCATGTATGTCTCTCTTAGGGCCCTCACTGTTGTCTAGGTTCTCTGGGTCTGTGAATTGTAGGCTGTTTTTTTCTTTATTTTATGTCTAAAAGACACTCGTGACTGAGTACATATTATAATTGTCTTTCTGGGTCTGGGTTACCTCACTCAGTATGATCTTTTCTAGATCTATCCATTTGCCTGCAAATTTCAAGATGTCATTATTTTTTTCTGCTGTCTTATACTCCATTATGTAAATGTACCACATCTTCTACATTCGTTCCTCGGTCAAGGGGTATTTAGGTTGTTTCCAGGTTCTGACTATGAAAAATAATGCTGCTACGAACAGAGTTGAGCACATGTCCTTGTGGTATGATTGAGCATCCTTTGTGTATATATTCAAAAGAGGTATTGCTGGGTCTTGAGGTAGGCTGTTTCCTAATTTTCTGAGAAATCACCACACTGATATCCAAAGAGACTGTACCAGTTTGCACTCCCACCAGCAATGCAGGAGTGTTCTTTTTTATCCCATATCCTCTCCAGCATAAGTTGTCATCAGTGTTTTTGATCTTGGCCATTCTTACAGGTGTAAGGTAGAATCTCAGAGTTGTTTTGGTTTGCATTTCTCTGATGGCTAAGGATGTTGAACATTTCCTTAAGTGTCTTTCAGCCATTTTATATTCCTCTGTTGAGAGTTCTGTTTAGGTCTGTATCCCAATTCTTTATTGGACTATTTGTTCTTTTGATGACCAATTTCTTGAGCTTTGATAATATATATATATATATTGGAGATCAACCCTCTGTCCAATGTGGGGTTGGTAAAGACCTTTTCCCATTCTGTAGGCTGCAGTTTTGTTTTGTTGACGGTGTCCTTTGCTTTATAAAAGCTTCTCAGTTTCAGAAGGTCCCACTTATTAACTGCTGCTCTCAGTGTCTGAGCTATGGGGTTATATTTAGAAAGTTGTCTCCTGTGCCAACGTTTCAAGTGTACTTCCCATTTTCTCTTCTATGAGGTTCAGTGTGGTTGGTTTTATGTTGAGGTCTTTGATCCATCTGGACATGAGTTTTGTGCATGGTGATAGATATGGGTCTATTTTCATTCTTCTACATGTTGATATACAATTAGGCCACCACCATTTGTTGAATATACTTTCTTTTTCCCAGTTTATATTTTTTGCTTCTTTGTCAAAAATCAGGTGTTCGAAGATGTGTGGATTGATATCCGGGTCTTCTATTCAGCTCCATTGGTCCTCCTGTCTGTTTTTATGCCAATACCAGGCTGTTTTCAGCACTGTAGCTCTGTAGTAGAGTTTGAAGTCAGGAATTGTGATGCCTCCAGAAGTTCCTTTATTATATATACAGGATTGCTTCGGCTATCCTGGGTTTTTTACTTTTTCATATGAAGTTGAGTATTGTTCTGTTGAGGTTTGTGAAGAATTTTGCTGGGATTTTGATGGGCATTGCATTGAATCTGTAGATTGCTTTTGATAAGATTGTCATTTTCACTGTGTTAATTCTACCTACCCAAGAGCATGGGAGATCTTTCCACTTTCTAATGTCTTCTTCAATTTCTTTCTTCAAAGATTTAAAGTTCTTGTCATACAGGTCTTTCACTTGTTTGGTTAGAGTTGCTCCAAGATATTTTATGTTATTTGTGTAAGGCACTCCTTTTTAAAGTCACCGGCATCCTAGCTTTTAGTATAGTTAACTCCTTGCTTTCTTTCCTTCCCAGTCTTGTGCGCATGTCCAAACAGAAGGGTTTGACTCTGCTTATGGGCTTGCTGTATTTGAGTCTCACAGTTTTGCTCACACTGTGAGTGGTTCCCATTCTGACCCTTTCCTGAGTTGGTGGGCACGTGACTGTCTCCAGTTTGTGGCGTTGAAGGTTTGCTCCTGTGAGCATTCCTCTGCTCACCTTCCCCAGGACGTGCACAGTCTCCTGCCTCCAGGGACATTTCCCTACACCCCACACAGGAGTCACACTTTCGGACAGCGGCTCCCAACCTTCCTAATGCTGCAACCCTTTAATACAGTTCTCATGGTGTGGTGACCCCCCAAACATAACTATTTTCAACACTACTTTGTAATTTTGCTATTGTTATGAATTGTAATGTAAGCATCTGTATTTCTCAATGGTTTTAAAGTGACCCCCAAAGTTTTGGCCCCCAGGCTGAGAACTGCTGCCTTAGGAGATATATGTGAAAGTGTTTCCCAAATTCTTGCTTCCACTTAAACCCCCACCCACAGCAGTCCCCATCATCTGCTCCACCCCTCATCATCCGCTCTACCCCTCATCGGCCGCTCCCCCTCCCCCTCTATCTTCCACTCCACCCATCCCTCAACTCTTCTCGTTGCCAAACTTGAACGTTTCCAGGGCTCAGGTCCCGTCCATCTCATGGTGGATATAATTTGCACTCCTCTGCTTCCTGAGTAAAATCAAGCAGCTCCTGCAGTAATTGGTCCCCTGAAATTCCTCTCGGGTTATGGGTCTGTTGAGTCTTCTCGGCTCTTTTCCTGTTGCAAAATTAAAACTTTTTCTTTTGGTGAAATTTCATCTTCCTTAAAATTACATTGGACAAGGAAGTGCGCCCGACTTCCAAGCGGCACCTGCTTACCTGATTTCTGTGTGTGACTGAGGGCAAACCTGTAAAGCCAAAATGGGTTGTTTTTTATACTTCACGTCTCTGAAAAGGTAACAGTAGAAGCTCTCAGAAACTAACCATTCCAGGTCTCTTTTTTCTTATCTCCATTTTCCAACTCCCTTATTTCCCTATATTTTCTTAGAGAACAAACATACGCCTACACCCCCGCAGTCTTTTGTTAAAATCACCAAGTGTAGAGTAGGCGATTTATTATTCTACTGGGTGTTTTTCATGCTGTGTTTTATGCATTGTTATGAGCTGGTTCAACGTGACTAAGGTACCGCCTGCCGTGCATATGACCTCCGTGGCTGCGATAACATTAAATAAAGAATATACATACGGCTCCAGTGGTGAGCTGCCCCGAACAAAAATAAATTGACAGCTTCCAGAACACCAGGCTGTAGCTTTTGCTCCCCTTATCTGCTTTAGACATTTGGGAATGAGCTCACTGGCAGGGAGCGAAGCCCATACAATCTACCATTACATAAATTATTCAGTCATCTGTGATGTCCTTGTAACATGAGAACCCCTATAAAAAAAAATAGCTGCCCTGCTTACAGAGGCGCATGCCTGCTATTTATAGTCTTCATGGAAGCTGCTTTGAATAAACCCGACAGAACTCCCTGGTAATCAGGGAGGATGGATGCAGGGTTTCACAGAAAGGTGTTCGCTGCATGCGTGCGTGCGTGCGTGCGTGCATGCGTGCAGACGGGCTTGGATACACACAGAGGATCAGCAGAGAAAGCCCAAGCAGGTGGAGCTTGTCTGTCAGCTCTTTCTCCCTTTCCTCTTACATTCTGGAAACCGAAACAAGGACAGACAGATTACAGGCCCCGGCAGGTCCTGTGGTACATGTTCCTGACGGTATCCAGGCAACAGGGCCCCTGCTTTTTCAAAAGATGTCTTCATTTCTGGTTAGGAATGTCAGATGTCTGAGGCAGACAAAGAGGAGCCTGGGACACTGAGCCTCCTAATTATCTTTCCTCAACACATGGGTCCCAAGTTACCCAGAGTCGAGGCTTCCTGTGGATCAGAGCAAGGCAGATGTTGGCTTTCAAGATTTCTCACTCTGCTAAAGCCGGAAAAGAAATGCCCACGTCTTTTTCTTTATTGCTTAGTTGATTTATATTTTCTTTTTATGGTGCTGGGGACCGAACACTGGGCCTTATACATGTTGGGCAAGTAAGAACCTGGTCCACTAAAATGTGCTACAGTCCGCTCATAGCTTAACTTTTTAAAAAGTATTTTTTATTTTTAATTCTGTGTCTGTGTGTGGCCATGTCCATGTGAGTACAGGTGACCAGATGAGTACAGACGGCCAGAAGCCATCTCCTAGAACAGCGCTTCTCAGCCTCCCTAACGTGGCAACCCTTTAGGATGCTTCCTCACATTGGGGTGACTCCCCAACCATACAGTTATTGCCATTGCTACTTTGTAACTGTGATTTTGCTACTGTTATGAATCATAATGCAGATATCTATGTTTTCTGATGGTCTTAAATGACCCCATGTGAAAAGTGTCATTTGACCCACAAAGGTTGAGAACCATGACCCTAGAGTTCCAGGTAGTTATGAGCCACCTGATATGGGTGCTGGGCCTGAACTCTGGGTCCTTTGCTAGAACAGTACATACTCTTAAATGCTAAACCATCCCTCTAGCCTCATAACTCAATTTTTAAATTAAAAAATATCTTATAGAATGAGCCTGGGGAACACTCAGTGGATAAGCTGCTTGCCGTATAACAATGAGGACCAGAGTTAAGTTCCCCAGAAGCCATGTAAATACCAGGTGGGTACGGTGGCCTACCTGTAAGGCAGAACAAGGCATCCTCAGAGCTACTTAGCTGGCATAACTAGCCAACATCAGTGGGCTCTGGGTTTGATTAAGAGACCCTGCCTCAGTGAATAAGATGGAAGAGCAATGGAGGATGACTACGGATATCAGTCTCAGGCCTCCATGTGGACATGCACACGTGTGGTGCATGCATACCACACACCTGCATCACCACACACACAACATGCATATGCACATGCACCGCGCACACACACATGTGCACGCGCACATATACACAGGAAAAGGGAAAAGAAAAAAAACTTATGGCGCTTCAAAATTCCAATGACATTCTTCATAGAAGTAGAAAAGAAAAATTCTAAAATTTGTCCAGAAAAACCAAATGACAACATATAGTGCCAAAACATTAGATATTTTACTTTCAGTCATGTGTATGAATGCATTGTTACTGTTTGAGATCGGGTTTCGCAGTGTTGCTCAGGCTAGCCTCAAACTTCTGGGCTCAAGTCTTCCAAGAAGCCGAGGTTCTACACATGTGCCACCATGGCTAGTTTACGTGACATCCCGGGAATGATAAATTAAAGCAAGGACAGATTAGTGATTGGTGGGAGTTGGGGGACAGAGGCATCAAGAAGAAAGTAGGTGGGGGAAATAACAAGAAATTTTGATACGTAAAATCTGGCACAGATAAAATAATTAGGACTAACTACAGGCATGTGTGCACGCTGTAACACCTGACTGAGAGCTATGTATTGTATCAGTGCCTTGACCTGTGACATATATGCTCTGTATGTTTCCAACATGTCATCATTGGGAAGAAACTGGGTGAAGAACAATGGCATCTTCTCTATTACTTCTTACAGCTGAGTTTATGGCTATTTTAAAATACAACATCTGGGCTGGGTGATGGTGGCACACGCCTTTAATCCCAACACTCGGGAGGCAGAGGCAGGAGGATCTGTGTGAGTTTGAGATCAGCCTGGTCGACAAAGCTCCAGGACGGCCAAGGCTGTTGTTACACAGAGAAGCCCTCTCTGCGGGGGAGGGGGGAGACAGGTGAGTTACTGCCACAGATAGGGCTGCCTCAGGAGAGCCCCTTTTGGCCTTGGTAATTTATGAGATTAAAACTACCACGGTCCTTGGTGGGTCTGAGTAAGCACGGCCCTTATTCAGGTGTCACTTTGAAGACAACAGAGTTTTATCTCTGAGGATGAAGGAGACCCTTCGTGACTTGGATGCTGGTGGAAAGATTCACACAGTCATTTGAAGAGTCAAGAGGATCCCACCACTGAAAAAATCAAAATGGCAGCCCACCATGTGGAGCTGAGGAGAACAGATTAATATAGGGTGCTGCGACAAACACAACCACCGAAAGTTCTCCAACACGAGTTCCTCAAAATGAGAGATTCCCGCCCAACACAAACAGACAGCAGCTTTGTCTGTCAAGACTTGTGTCATGTGCCCGTTTACGATTGGAGAAGAGGGTTCACATTAAACAGTAGTTTGTGGCCTGGAATTTCTTGCAATTTGATCTGAATCATCTTACGGAATATTAATGTCAATAAAATCTTAAAATATCAAATTTTTTTAAAAATTGAGCCTGGATTTTTCTCAAAGATCTGTTAATTTTGCCGGACAGAGGAAAAACTCCAAATATAATGTTAAAGAAAGACCTGCAGGTAAGCTGGGAAAAGTTCCGAGGAAAGGGCAGAGGCATCCAGGCTGGCCTCCATCTCACAGGGATCCACCTGCCTCTGCCTCCCAGAAATGCAACTTTTAATATTATTTTTATAATAGCAGTATACAGCATGCGCCTAACAGGATCTCAAGCCTGCTCCAAAGACAGGCAAGTCCTTGTGTCTCTCTGAATCTCTATCATTTTGCTCATTTGGTGACCTTCAGATGACCTCTCCAGAAGGTTTAATTGGTCAGTGGACCTTCTCCAGGCATTTTAAACCTGACCCTTGCCGCCCACCCTTGGTCCTCCCTCCTGGTGGCTCATCAGTGATTTGGGCAAACAGTGGGGAACTGGATAGGTTTGGGGTCCAGGCAGATGTACCCCTGCCAGCTGTGTGACCTCCAGCCTTTTAACCTTTCTAAACCTACTTCCTCAACAACAAGGCAAAGCATTTCACTGTACAGCCTTTGTGGTCAGACTACCTGGGTTTGCACCCTGGGGTCACTGTATGCTTAAATAATACTATGTCCTATGAGCCTTTTATCCGCCGTAACCGCCTGACTCCCCGGGCCGCATGGCGCTGCAGGGACTCACGGCCATCCTTGTCGGACTCCGCGAGCCGCCCGGGACATCCCATCATCATATTCTTTTTAAAAGAACAAAAATCTGGGTGTCCTTGGGTCAGTTATTAATCTTTTATAGATTTCAGTTTCTACACCTGTAAAATGGATGTGACATGTAATAAAGCTTTGTTTGTTTTTTTGTTTGTTTATTTGTGTTTGCCTCAGGGCTTTTTAAACAAAGACTGCAGTTTTATACAGATTCCCTAAAGGGAGGAAGTAAAAGCCAAGGCAGAGCAGCCAGTGCCCAGCTACTGCCAATGGCGTGCTCCAATGCTTACACAAGGCCAACAGCCACGACCAGGTGACCTATGGGTTCCAGTCATCAGCATGCCGCCAAGCTGGCTAACTGTGCAGAGACTTGAATGGACGTGCAAGACAAAGGAATTGGGTGCAGGAGCTGGGGATATAGAGCAATTGTCTGGCACGTTTGAGGTTCTGGGTTCTCGGGGGTCTCCGAGAGGGACAGAGACAGAGAAAGAGAAAAAGACAGTGAGAGAAGGTGAGAGAGAGAGAATTTCCTGGCTCAGAATAGTGACGAAATAATAGCAAACATCAAAGCAAACCCAAAGTGGGTGGAGAATTAGATTACAGGACTTTCAGAATTGTCACATTATATAAAATGTCTACTTTCAACCAAAGATGACTAGGCAAGCAAATAAAGAAAATATGTCGTATTTCTCACCATTATCTGTTTTCCCTGTACAGTTGATTCTTGTGATTTATGGGCTCTGCATTTGTGGACTTATCTCCTTGTAAAAATTAATGTGTCATCTCAAAATCAATACCTAGGGCTCATGTTGCTTTTGCAATCATTTGGGGCGATGTAGAGTGGTAAACAATGTGAGCCGTGGGCACACAGCTGTGCATACAGCAGAGCGCTTTGCCATCTTGTCTCGGCTCTTACCCTGTTAACAAGTGTAGGGCAGTTACTGACACAATGCTTATTGTTGGTGCTCCTTGTCTCAGAAATGTTCCTTTTGAGGAAATGCATGTAGGCAAGCTCTGATGGGTAAGACTTCAGTGGGCTGAATGGCTGTGGGCTGAGTTGGCTGTGAGAGTTCAGTGTTTACAAAATCAATGATATGTATTAGATAAGATAGCCTTAAATAGAAGTAAAGCAAGGTTGGAGAGCTGATTAGCTAAGGTGGTTTTATGCCAGAGGCTTGTAGGAACACACTCTGTTTCTCCAGAAGCAATGACTTGGTATTTTTAATTCAGAGTTTATGGTGACACTGTAGAACACAAAAAGCAGGAATTTGTTTTGTACATGTCTGATATAATAGGTGAAAACATGGCTATGATATAACTACACTAGGAAATAATTTCTCCAAACCTTGAACTTGGGCTGGATTTGCTGCTAGACTTGGTCAATAAAACATGGCGGTGTTGTATAAATTCTGGAGCCCGGGCCTAAGAAATTCTACAGCTTTTTGCTTTTGTCCTTTCGGAACAACTGTCCTGGGACCTTTGCATGTGGAGGTAAACAGAGCCTGCTAGAGGAGGAAAAGCTACCAAGGTACCCAGGCAGTAGCTACACGTGTGAACAAGGGCATCATGGCTTCTCCAGGCCAACCCCAATTGCCCAGCCAAATTCAGCTGTCAAAATAAGCCCAAGAAAAACCAGCAAAAGAGCTGTCCAGCTGACCCGCAGAATCATGTGAGGTCAGAAATTGTTGTCAAAAGTGCAAGTTCGGTGACAGTTCGTTTTAGAGGAACCAATACCTGGCCCACTTGCTGACTTGGAGTTCAGTGTGGTCAGGGGACACACGTCACATGTCACTTTAGAGGGAAGCACTTACTTGCTCTTCGCCTGCTGTGACATTCATGGAGGTGTGCCCTGATAAGAGAGTTATGAATGGTTATGGTTCTGAATCAATAACAAGGAAAGCTGCCCTGAAGAGCTGCCTGAACCCCCAGAAGATCTGCTGTGAACTAAAATGAATTAAACATGCTATATCCAGCCTAGGATTGGGGATGCTTGTTCCTGTAGCATGCCTAACTCACTCTAATTGGCACAAGGCTGGAGATCTTAACATTTTCTATACAAAACCTTCCGGCCACACAGAAAAATTCTAGGCCCATCTGAGAAGAGATAAAAGCACTGAATTTAGGCTAATGGTTCAGTGTGAAGTTGCCTGGGGCTCATCACAAATATCAGCTTGCCTCTTCGAATCCAGTCATTTCATAAGCATTTGTTGCGTTCCTTGTTGATTAACTGCCACAAAGCATGGACTTGATCCCTGTGACATTCTGATGGTCCTTAGGAAAACAAAGAGTTGATCCTGAACCAGCCTGGTGAATACAGCATGCAGAACAAGGAGCACCAAGCAGCTGACCTTGTTATCTTTGCTAAGCTGTGCCCCATTATCAGAGGCGAGTTCGCCTTACAGCTCGGTTGGCATGCCACCGTCTTCTCAGATGTCAAGTGAAATGAGATGTAAAATGCACTCTGAAATCTAAACGGCGGCTGATAAAAATGAAAGCTCCTCACTGCTGTTTATGGGTAATGTTGGTGTTTCTAGCTGAGCCCTGAGGTGTGAGTAGTGTAGACAAAAACGCCTTCTCTGAGAAGACAGGCTGGCCGGGCTAGGTCTCTGTCACAGGTGGGAGCGTCCCTGGCACGGAGACAGGAGATGGGTTTCCGTGAGCTCGGAGGGGCTGAGGATGTGGAATTGTGTTCGACAGCTCTGGACCACCTGATGACGAACACCACTACTGTTGCGGTCGCTCAGGGTTGGTGGCTTCAGAAAGGGGCTGTCAGCATCAACACTTGCAGCCCTGGGGAGGTTGGGTATTTTTGACTTTGCTAACATGGTCTTCTGCTTTGCCAAGGGGAATCGTTCATTGCCTCTTCTGCAGAGCAATAGCTCCTTCCTCTGGCTGCAGTCCCAGCATCTGCAACCATGTAATTTATCTCCCCAGACTGCTTGGTCCACAGTTTCCTAGGACTCTGGTCATATTCTTCTTTTTTACCCCTGGTGACTCCTTTTCTGGAGTTCTAGATCTTCTAAGTTAAATTTCCGACGCTGACAAATGTACCCAAATGAATAATGGAGACTTGATTTTGACTAAAAAGAACGGACACCAAGCAGGGTGTGCTGGCTAGTTTTATGTCAGCCTGACACAAGGCCTGTAAGACATTTTCTTAATTAGTAATTGACGGCGGAGGGCCAAGCCCATTGTGGGTGGTTCCATCCCTGGCCTGGGTCCTGGCTTCTATAAGAAAGCAGGCTGAACAAGCGGAAACAAGTCAGTAAGCAGCTTTCCTCCATGGCCTCTGTATCAGCTCCTGTCTTCAGGTTTCTGCCCGGCTTGAGTTCCTGTCCTGACCTCCTTCGATGATGAACAGTGATTTGGAAGCATAAGCCAAATAAACCTTTTCCTCCTTAACTTGCTTTGGCCGTAGTGTTTCATCACAGCAATAGAAACCCTAACTAGACACAGGGCCTCTTGACAGATACGTCTCTGCAGCTCAAGAGAGCTGTGTCTTGCTGACGTAGACCCCCATCAGTCCCTTGTCTAGTGAGAGCTTCACAGAGCAACCTCTATGCGGAATGTTCCTGGCCTATCTTAGTCATTCCGTCATATATGATTGGTCCCTCTCCATTAACTCCAAATCCACCAACAAGTAGCAAATGCACTGGGGACAGGAACCAGAGGGTTGAGATCATGGGACACACCAGAGGGTTGAGATCATGGGACACAGTTATGTTCTCTCTCCATTTGTCTCTGATTCTTTGCTGGAGTTCTGCTCAACAGTCCCTTTATTGCATCTCTGGCCTCTGCTTGCTCCATTCCCATCTCCTAGTTCAAAACCGGTCGGACAACATCCTCCAGGGAACAACTATAGTCACTTAGGCCATTGTGCCTCTGGAAATGGAGGTGTCCCTACCACAAAGAGAGCTCGTGACATGAGGTCAGTTGAAAGAAAACTGTGTACCTTCCTGGGGCAGGTCATGGCTCACAAAGGCCCCTCTGGCCAGCGAGGAAGGTTAGTTTGGCCTCCACTTACCTCAGTGTAGAAAGTGACCATGTGGACTTGTGATGGGTCCCTCAAGGCTTGAGGAGTATGTTGTTTCCTTGGTGAGTTAAGTAAGCATGCCAAGACCACAGGCATGTGAATGCCTCTGAAAGGCAAGAACAAAGGGAATGGGAACAGGTCAAAACAAAGGGCAGAAGAATGACAGAGAATAACTTGGAACCAGAAGACACAGTTCCTAGTTTTGGCGGGCCTCACACTGGCCATAAAATTAGCCTGGAACAACTTGCTGGGCTTTGTGAATCTCTGCTTGTAAAAACGGGAGATGCCCTTGCTCCCTCACTGTGAGGTGAAAGCGAGCCTGCGTGGGAGAGGGCATCACGGAAAACATAGAAAAGTCCACTTGTTTCCACCTCATGTCAGCGTAGCAGAATCTCAGAGACAGCTGAACCAGCTTTTCCCAGGCAAGCCCTTCTTCTCCTACCAGGCACGTTGGTACTTGTGGAGACATTGCTCAGTGTGGCAAGGGAAAGATCCTATTGTTGTGGAATCACTGTCCTGGCGAGCCATTGGAGTTAAGATTGCTCCCTCTAACACGGTGCCAAGAGCAGATGGCTCAGGGTGAGTCCAAGGAACAGAGGGCAGAATTAGGCTTGAATTCAGGGGCAAGAGCTGGTGGGAGGGCTACTGGGAAGAGAGCTGGAGCCGAGCTCAAGAGGGTCAGGCAGAATCACTAGAGAGGACCAGCGAACAGGGGTGCGAAAGGCACGGAGAGGAGGCAGGACAGCCGCTACCTTGTTCAGTACGCGGGAGTGCAAAAGTGCTGTTGTCATGGTGATTTCACTGACTCCTATGTTATCTATAATACCCTGGGTCTCATGAAATTGCCACAGTTGCTCAGAGGGGTTAAGTGACTTCCACGGCATCATAGAGTAAGTATTTAAACATTGTAGAGAAATGAGGTTAGGGTCTTTTGCTTAGTGAGACATTTAAACCCCTCTCCCTTTCAATTTCCCTAGCAAATTTATAGTTATAGGCTGCCAAAAGTAATGTCAATGTAGAGAAATGGATGTGTTTAAATGGCCCTGGGAGGTCTGGTAGGTTGTGACTGTGATGGAATAGCAAGGAACTCCTAGTTTATCATGGGACCAAATCTCCAGCACTGGCCACTGCAACCATCACCTCTGCAGGAACACTGTTCCTATGGCTTGAGTGTGTCCTCCGAAGCTCAGGTGTTGACAGTTCTGGCTCCAGTTCAATGGCATGGAGAGCTGTCCAGCAAATGGTGATTAAGTTGCAAGGCCTCTGCCTTCCTTAAAGAATGAATAAAGAATGAATGAGTGAGTGAGGAGTGAATGAATGAATGAATGAATGCCATAGAGTGCAGGTCCCTCTTCTATCTTCTCCCATTGCAAAACAAGACAGCTGGGACCTGTGTCTTTTCATATGCCGCCCAAGTAAAGCTGAATGAACGAAATGTAGGCCTGGGTCTTACCTCACTAGCAACTGGAGCACAAATAATAAAAACCCAGAGACAGATATTGAGGTTCAATAGAAGATCAGAAAAGCAAATCAGCCAGCTACTGGCTCTTACCTCTATCTCAGACTGAAATGGTGATCCTGCCTCCCCAAATCCTCAGAATGAGACTGAACTGAGAGCTGTCTCCTCCTGTTTTAAACTCCTCTCTAGTGCTGGGATTAAAGGTGTGTGCCATCACTACCTGGCCTCTGTGGCAACAGATGCCCTGCAGAGAAGGCCAGGAAGGGCTAGCAGGTAAATTCCATTGCCTTCTTCCCCTACTCCGAGATGTACTGACTCTGCCTAGCTATCAGGCACAAGTGTCCTGTGTGCCTGAGCCCTACGTTGTTCCCCTGTGCAGTGAGGGCTGGCTTCCTTTCCGTTCTTCCATCTTGCTCTCTTCCCTGCACTGTGCTATGTCCACCCCGAACCTGGGCCACCAACTCAGACACCTCCCCTTCAAGACATCAGGCCCATATTCCCATCTCCTGTTCCTTCTAGGTAAAGATCCATTATTTTTGCGAGGTCTCTGGACTGGAGTCCCAAGTCCTCTCCCTTGGGGAAGCTAATCTAGTGTTTGATGCGAGCCAATAACACTTTACCAGGTCACCGTGCAGCCTGGGGCTCGGGACCAGGCACTCTAGCTGAACACAGCACAAGACACACTAGACAGGTGACATTCTCCGAGTTAAATGGTTTTCTAAGGCTCACAATTACGTGGATTTCTTAATATGAAAGGACAACAAAAGAAAATTAATGTTTCTCGTCCTAAAAAAAAAAAAGGGAGATGAGTCAGGCAGAGTGGCACACACCTATAATCTCAGGGTTTGGGGGACCGAGGTCAAAACAAAGGCCGAATGGATGAAAAAGTGAGCAGTTTTTATACAGTAGCTTCGATCTGCTTTGCAAATTGTCACAGTTACAAAGTCTCCAGCGAGTGGAGGAGCCCTGTAGAGTCAAGGTGTCTTCCAATCGCTCAGCAGCGGAGCTGTTACCCGAGAGTCGGTCCCAGACTTAAAAACCAGCCTTCAGGAGTAGCCATCATCTCCTCTCTCCTCCTCCAGGAATCTGCCCTTGTTCACGTTTGGTAACTTTATCAGGTAGGGCCATGGAGAAACTAACTCTGAGGTCAGGATAAAACTGAAACCTGAGCATTCCCAGGGCAAGGCCCTGGCTTGTCCCCCAGCTGCTGTGGCCCCGCTAGCGCCAGCAGGAGGGGGAAATGAGACCTGTCCCTTGCATGCTGGAGGAGCTGCAAATCCCAAGGCATCCGGCATCCTCCTTTCTTCAGTCAGAGTGGCCCCGGGAACTCTGCTGGCATCCATCCATAGCCTACTCCTCCTCTCTGTGCGTGCTTGGTTCAGTCTGTCCAGTGTCTCTCCATAGCACTTTTGATCATTTGACCCTGTCGATCATGGAGGGACCATGATTCCTGGTGAAAGTCACCCACAGCGGTGTCCACCCAGTCCCCATTTCCTAGTTGCTGTCCTTCCAGCTTGTATCTGCCTCCCTTCTCGTTTTCCTGCTTCCTTTGTTTTTAGGAGGCTTCTGCACAGATTAGAAGGTGAGAATGCTTTACTTGTGGCTTAAAAAGCTGTTGGATCCTGGAGGCTGGAGAGATGGCCCAGCAGTTAAGGGCTCTACTGTTTTTGTGGAGAATCCAAGTTTGGTTCCCAGAACCTGACATACCGTGGCTCACGAACATCTGTAACTCCAGATCCAGGAGATCTGATACCAAACATAGACACATAGACACACAATTGAAAATAACGGTTAAAAAAAAAAAAAAACTTTAAAAAGCTGCTAGATCCTGACTTGCCTTCTCACATGTGAGCCGGGTTTCCTTAGTTAGGTCATTAGCTGGGGGCTGAGGATTCAGCTCACGGGGGCAGTATAAGCTCTGTAGGGGCAAAGTCCTGTGTTTTAGCCTTGACATTGAAAAAAAGAAAAGAAAAATAAAAAGTTGGAAGCACTTTTCTTTTCAATTGTTTCTGAACCTTATTATAGTTACTGGGTAGGGCAAGTTACCATTTTAAAAATCTTGTAAAAAGGACACAACATATTTACATAATCCCTTGAACATTGTACCAATGGTTACTCAAGAGGAAAACTTGCCAGCACTTAGACGCTTAACTAATCAATGTTCTTTGGCTTGCAATTGTCAGTCTGTAATATTGTAAATGTCATGGACTTGCCCTCCTGTAGCATCACGCCCATAATTGAGCACCTCCCCTACAACCTTCTGATAAACGAAAGCAGCCTTTCCACGTGAATTAGGAAGGCCAGCTTGTTAATGGCCTCCCTGGAGTTTAACAAACCCGCCACTGGCTTTGTCATTGTTCAGGCATAATGAGCACCATATTACAATCTGGAAATAAGCGTTCTCCGGACAATTGGTTCCCAAGGGTAGACTGAGTATTCTTTTTTCTCCTCAATTCCTTGTATAATGTAGGGCAATAGTTAGTGGGATAGAAAACTGTTTTATAGTTTTATTTAACAGCAATTCTCCAAATCCAAGCTCATTTATAAAAGGAAGCAGATTTGAGTTTGTTAAAGTTAGAGAATCTAACACACATGTGCACACACACACACATGCACACACACAGACACATACATGCAGGAGGACTGGGGAAGTTGCTCAGTGGGTAGAGCACTTGCTCTACAGACATGAGGACCTAAGTTCATATGTCCTGTCTCATGTAAATAGCATTTACCTGCAATCCCAGGGCTCTTAGGGGGAAGCAGGAGGCAGAGACAGGAAGCTTCCAGAAGCTCACGGAACAGCCAGCCTGATCTACACAAACATCAAATAACAAAAGTCCCTGCCCTAAACAGAGTGAAAGGTAAAGACTGGCACCCAGGTTGTCCTCTGGCTCTCTCTCTCTCTCTCTTTCTCTCTCTCTCTCTCTCTTACACACACACACACACACACACACACACACAGCATAGCACAGGCACACCACCATTCACACGTACACACACATACAGACACATGAAGGTTAATTTTAAAACATACACTCTGTTGACCTGGCATCCAGCTGGGTGATGAGCAGAATGCCTGGGGCCTCACTGCTCAGCTGTGAAGGAGCCGTCATACTATACCTCATGCTTCACCTGCCGTTGGAATAAGGGATACATGGAGCAGATACCTGAGGAACGCTGCCTCAGAGGACCAGCCACCATGGCTCGGTTGTGACGCAGTGTGAGCTGCTACCCACAGAATTCCAGGAAAACATTCTGCTCAGCCTCCTTCAAAGAACCTGTGAGTCATGACTGATTCGATGAAGCATTTACGCTCCAGCAATTACTCTCGTGGGGTCCTGGAAAGACGGGTTCCTTGACCAAAACCAGCTCCCTCCTTTCCCAGCTTCACTCTCTGCGTTTTCTTGGTAAATCTTCTCTTTGGCAGCATAGAAGGACACTTCTGTTCAGACTAACCAGGCACGTTTACCCACATCTTAAAGGACGGGGTCTCAGAGGATGAAGATAGAGCAATTTAAACACAAGAGAACAATAAACATCAAGACCACCATGTAGAGTGTGTGTGAGCGGTGGTTCACCCAGCTCAGGGTTAGGTGTCTCTCCCGCCACCCCCTTTGCTTTACATCCTCTTGTTCAAGTTAATTTAA